GGTTGTAGGCCCATTGGTATGTTATCCTCTCCTAATATTATCCGTTTGAAAATAGAATGAAGGCAGGTTAACAGTAGCTACCAATTAAAGCAGATTACTTACAATAATACCTTTCCCTTTATGTATTTGGAGGCTGAAGTTCGCCAGATCGCTTACAGACGTATCTAAACTAACTGTTAGGATATTAAGAGTATAGATGTTTTACATAGTGACGCGAGATAGGCAGAATGGTAGGATGTGAATTAGTCATCTCGAGATAATGTGTAGGCCCTCTGGTCTTGAACCATCTTTATCTACATCTTAACTGATGTCCCATTGTCTAATATGCGGAATGGGCGTTTATTTCATAGATCATATATATGCTTATTGAATATTTATTTATATCAAATGGAGGCGTCTTGATGGTTATCATTAGCCCTTTAGTTGACTTCAAGCTTTAAGGAGGAGGAGGAACATCAAAGTGAAACAAGTCGAGAGGGAGAGGGGGAACAGAAGAGTTTCAAAGATGTAAAAGAGACAGACACAAAAATGGAAAAAAGGTGAGGTGAGTACTGTGGAAGAAGTCGAATATGACATACAATGGGGTGAGGGTGGTTTGAAGTCAGAAGTCGACTGCCAGTTAATAGACTTTTTTGCCGTATGAGTATGCGTTGCCCAGGGTGCACCAAGTGGAGGTAAGTCTATCGCACACCCCTCTTATTGAATATAAAAAGGTACAAAAGAGCATTTTGCTAGATGTTTTACTTATACGCTTATAACAATATGGTTTCTATTATAAAATTAATTGTTGCCCTTTACATTGGTGACACATTGGAAATGGAGCACTTCTGTAATGTCAGGAGTCATGAGTTTATTTTTCATCGACGCATCCAGTGGACGGATTGCCCGTCTGCAGTGGTTGAGCTTTGCTAGCATAGAAGACGACGGAATTCAAGTCTTACCATGGTGGCTCTGTGTTGCTGGTCCCGGCCAAAGCTAAGTTTTGGAAAACACTTTCCTAATTGGGAATAGGGATAATCGTTTTTTGACTTCCTCATAGTCTAGGGGGACATAACACCTTAGAGAGTCAATAAGCTTTATCGCGCATTTTATTGATTTGTCGCATCAAATATGTTTGTCTAACAGTAGTTAAAAAAAGGATCGGAATAAAATAAGATATGCTACCGTTTACATTTCCATAAGAAGGCAATAGATTTTCATCAGAAGTTATAGAATAATGCCCTTTCTTACAGCATGTTTGAGAATTATTGCTATCGAAATTCGACTGAAGTGAAGCAAAGACATCCTGAAGAGTGAGTTTTCAATTTAGTGAAGAATTCTTCATTTCCTTTCTACTCCCTCTCTTTTCTAGAATGACATGCAGCGGTCAGCGCAGTTCCAATTGGTTAGCTGGACAGAATGGCTTGGGCAGTGGGCCAACTTCAACTACAACCCCAACGACTGCTCAGGTGTGTGTCTACGAGGCGGCTTCGGTTGCGGCAGCAGTGGCAGCAGCTGCAGCTGCAGACCAGTCAGACAACCCCGCAATCGCCTCTGCCAATCTACTCACTGCTGTTACTCGCGAGAGGTCTTCCTCAAGTCCCAATGTCTGCAATCACATTACACAGCCTGGTTTCCTCAACCCTATGGTATGGCCTGCATCCGTCAAGGTTAGTTTGTTTATACTTCTGTCTACACTATGAGATAATGAATTATCCCAAGCCATATAAAGAACGCATGAACGTGTTTATTCTGACTTAGATCCAATGTGAATAGAAAGCATATTGGAGGACGGAGGAGGGAGTTGAGGGCACATTTTAATTAATGATGAATGAAGTGATAGGTTGATTTTTGTATAATCGGAATGTCGCGGACCAATATATTGGCTTTCTAATGCTTTAGAGGTGCCCCCCAGTACTAAGCCATTGACAGCCAAACCCGCGATGGGATCCTTCCAACTACACTAATTTATTAAGTTGATGTCCCCACTGTATCCCGAAATCCGATGATTTAACAGCAGAAGGAGTCTATTTGAAGTTTCTTATGTAAAGGGCGCCTTTGGGGCTCTCTGTGCCCTCAATAGAAGAGGAGACCTAGTCTAAGCAAAATTTAATTAAACCCACGTAATATTGGAAAGGCAGATAAAGTGGAAAGTCATAAAGTCTATAAGATATAGGAATGGTGTAAGTAAGCGTCAAGAGGTATAAACATTAGAAGAGGTGCGAGCAGGCGGTTATTTACCTATTGTTTGCCTAACTCCATCAGTAGTGATGACAACCGATGATCATAGTCACACTGAGCGCCCGGTTGGACTTCGCCAGTAGTTCACTCTGCTGCAAGCGTGCGCTTTGCTTTGTAGTCCAGCAGAAAGATTACGAACCACAAGAGTCCTACCAATTCGGCACACCAATCCAAATATGTCGAGTGATTCATTAGGAGAAATTTGAAACGTCAAAATCTATTGCTATTTATTTATTTCAAATGGCAGGCATTTTGATAGTTATCATTAGCCCTTTAGTTGACTTCGTGCTTCACAGAAGGGAGGAACATTAAAGTGACAAAAATTCGACAGGGGGAAAGAAGAGCGATTCACAGATGTAACAGACAGACAGACACAAAGGCAGAGAAAAGGCTAGATGAGTACTGTGAAAGGGGTCGAATATGACATACAGTGGGGTTATGGAAGTTTGAAGTCAGAGGTCAATCGCCAGGTAATAGACCTTTTTGCCGTATGAGTATACGTTGGCCAGGATGCACCACGTGGAGGTAAGTCTATCGCACACCC